ATGAAAACTAAAATTGTAGCAATAATAATTCTAAAAGTTTAGGGATAAAAGCTAATAAATATAAGTATAAAAAATTATCCTTTTCGCCATTATCGTCATTATCATTACAGTTATCTTTGTAAAAAAAAACGTCATGTAAAGACGCCTTTAGCAGCCGTTTTCATCATCGTCATGTAACATTTGTTATCACCGCCATCGCCATTTCCACAAGAGATCATGACCATATCATGACCACCACCATCATCATCACCATCATCACCACCTTCATTATCATCTTCATCATCACCATCGTCATCATCATCACCACTACTTCCACCATCATCATCATCATCACCATCATTATCATAGGGATGTACATAATATTTTCTCACGAATCCCACGGTCAAATGAATAGCGTGCGTCACCAGGATCAAAGTTTCGCAAAATTTCGATAAGAGTTTAAAAAATAAACTTATTTCTTTGTTTTAGGACTATTACATCATATTTTCTCTCTGTCACAAAACAAATATTTCGTTTCTTGCACTTTCATCCGTATCCAAATCGGCTGTTTACACAGGCTATCATGTGCTATGTGACCCCAGCCACTGTGTTTGACGAAACACATAAACAATGCAGCTTAGAGTTGTTTGCTGATTGAACACTATGTTTGACTCTCCGGAATACTTGGTTATTACATTTATGGTTAGAGGGGTTATTTCATTTATGGTGGGTTTTGATTTTTACATTTATCGTTAAATTTTATTACATTTATGGTAGGGTCCATTATAACATTTATGGTTGACTGTTATTACATTTATGGTTGTTATTACATTTACGTTTGATTTTTATTACATATACGGTGGGTGTTACATTTATGGGTGTTATTTAATAGATAATTACTGAGGCACGCAGCATTCGTAGGTATAATGCAGGCAGCTGAGGGCGTATCATAGAAACAAAGCCAATAATGAATGAACTAAATTTGTCTGATTTTCCTCTATGCATTCGTTGGGATAATGCATTCTGAAAACAATGGATTTTGATAAGATCAGTAATTATTACATTTAAGGGTAATAGAAGCTCTAAATATATTCAAAATCCAAATATTGCTAAGCATAGAAGTTTCGTTTTGACAACAACTCGTCTTAATTCATTCGATTGCTTTGAAAACATGGAAGTATTTCCCTGTTCAGTTTCGAATATAAGGAAATATTTTCAGCTAGGTCTTCTGAACGAATAGTCGGCACGGTCGAGTCAACGGGCAATCCTTAATCCAAACGATAATCATTCAATATTATACAATAAACTGGGAATCCAGCGAATGCTTTTCTTTTTGCAACAATAGGCAGCAACGACTTGTATTCCCTGGAGAGTTGGTTTACAAGTTTGAGCATCATCCACTGCGCCGCTCAATTAACTTACCGGCTCAGTATAATAGGCTTATCAGAAACAATAATATCGCCCACAACACTGAAGCAGCGACTCGCACTCATTAACGTGGCAGTATAAATATAACCAGTCTGACTTTATTCTTCACTTGACTCTGCGCCCAGGATTTCGAAACGTCAGTCCTTCTCAGGCGGTTACATCCACCCGAATGATCATAATACAAGTATTGCTACTTCCATAAACATTCGATTCAGTACGTTCAGGAATACTCCTCGAATAATTTTAAAAGCAAACGAACAATGCTTTTCTTATTTAGATGAAGGGGACAGGGTAGTTTCCTTATATAAATGAAGGGGACAGGGTAGTTTCCTTATATGGAGATGGCGCGTAATCATCTGGAATCAAGGATAGTACGACGAAATTGTACTTTGCATGGTCTACACTAATATTTAGTAAATGAGAATACAACAGAATATGGGCTCCCTGTGTTAATGAAAAACTGCAGTTTTTCCTAATAAGACATTGCAGGCTCATCAATAACAAAGATGGCGAGTTTTATAAAAAGAAAATTAATGAGAGAAAAAAGACTATTGAATTCATGTTTATTCATCGGAGACTTACGTAACAATCATTAAAAAATGGATAGAATGGATAGACAGATCCAATTGAGTAACTAAGTATTTTTTCGTCACAAACTAAATATTCTCCTACAGCCCATGATTTCACGTGTAACATTTCACTGTTGCCATGGCGATGGGGTTTTTTCAAAACAAAATGGTGTCTAGCTTGTCAAAACTGGTGTGACGATTAAAAAAGTGAAAAAACCCTGAAAAACTACGAACTAAGAACTAAATTAGAGCCGGTTTTTGTAAAGTATAGTCATTTGCAAAAATATAACTTGTGTGGTCTTGACTTTAATTTTGTATTTCTAAAAAGAAAGAACATGCCTCATCTATGATTAAAAATACTAATGCCGTGGCTATCTTAAAGTCGTAATCGAAATATTTTTTTTCACGTTCACATATAAAACTCAAATTTTACCGACTCAAATAAAATTTAGCTGATGACCGCTAGATTTCTCTGGCGTATATTTGTCCTTCATAATATCTTAATAATTAAAAATGGTAATCACATTAGTAACTCATGAAGTTAGGGATAAATTTGACACATTTGGTTTTCTGGTTCAGGGCCACGCAAATTATCTTAGTAATACTCAGCATTTTTAAAGTAAGATTTATCAGTGTAAAAATGTCGCCAATGCAATAAAAACTTCGTTTGAAATTTTCAAGAGCAAAACTAGCTCCCTGGGAATGTCCATTGCGCTTAGGGGGGAGTGGGGACACAGGGAAGGCGAGAGGGAGTGGGGACGAGAGAGTGAAGTTAGAAATGGAATGCGTGCAGTGCATGTAAATTGCATAAACATGCTCGCGCTTGTTAATCACGTGCTATAGTTCAATAAAGAAGCGTATCAAACACGACATCCAGTACGAACTTGAAGATTTTTGATACCTAGTAATTCCACTCATGCATTGTCTCTCAACAATGATATAGTTTAAACTCGTGACTAATTATGATCTACTTCCTAAATGAGCAAGGCCTTGCTATCATTCTGTGTCCCCGTAAATGCCATTCTATTAAATATTAAACCCATCAGAGTGACCAAGAAATCCCAAAAACTCTTCAACTCTTGCATTTGTGTAGTTTGTGCTAAACAATGTACCAAAGATTATAAATAATCTAGGTTACTCGTGTGAGCCTCTTTCTTTGGCTCATTTCCCTAAACTGCTTTGGTAGCCAGGGTCATCAAAACTACGCTAGCTAAGAAATACTTAAGTCAAATTTCAGCTGCAAGATGGCCGAAGTTTAAAATTCAAATTCAAATGAGCTAAAAAATAATGTTTCTTGTTTGTTTGTTTTTTTGTTTTTTGTTTTTTTTGTTTTTGTTTTTTGTTGCAAATTTAAAACAAGGATACAAAAAGTTTTAATTATTTTTCATTAATTTGTTCTTTTTAACTTTCTTTAATTTCCTTTTAATTTTGTCTCAGCCGCCCATCAACGCAACCACCTCTGCCCCGACGACAAGCCCCATCGATAAGTCTACTTCGGCTCCAACGATGCAGCCGCCCGTCAACGCAACCACCTCTGCCCCGACGACAAGCCCCATCGATAATTCTACTTCTGCTCCA